AATTTCCCCTCTATAATTAAGAAAGAAACGAGGTATTTACACCTTAAATCTAAATAGTCCAGCTTTTAGCAGTCATTTTTATCTCTTGTGAATAGAAAGCAAACATTATTATCAATTAGTGTTTCTCATTATTTTCACACCTATGGACTGCCACCAGTCCATGGGCCAGTAGTTAAATATTATTAGCATAAATAATTCATAAAAATGTTTCAACAGAGTTGATTTTAACTAGTTTATTAAATAATGTATACCAAAAATGATGCAGAAATTACATAAAAACTTTATGGATTTTTTCCAATACATCATAAAAATTTTGGTAATTCTCAAAAATGTTCCAGTTGCATTTAAATAATCAATACCATTAACCTTTATAGTTTTGGTTCTACCAAGATATTTTTCTTTCCAACTAATGACATATTCTGGGGATGAGTACAAAATATAGCTGAAAGTAATTGCTTACATTTAAATATATGTCTCCCCCAAAAAGCCACTTGGATATGCCCTACCCACACTCTTCTTTCCTTTGCTGTAAGGAGAATATTTCTCAAGAGTCAAGCACAATTTCAGAATAAATGGACCTGGAAGGGATAAGATAAATTGTAAGAGGCACTGGTTGAACTCCACAAAAAAGAAAACATCCAACCCCATCAGAAAATGGGGAAATGAAATGAACAGAAACTTTCTCAAAAAAGAGATCCAAATGGCCATAAGACACATGAAATATGCTCATCACTAATCAGCAGGAAGATGCAGATCAAAACAACAATGAGATATCATCTCATGCTATAGAGACTGGCTCATACTCAAAAGAACAAAAGCAACCGGTGTTGGCATGGATGTGGGGAGAATGGGACTCTCCTTCACTGCCGGTGGGAATGCTGACTGGTTCAGCCCTTTTGAAAAACAATATGGACGATTCTCAAAAAATTAGAAATTGAGCTCCTATTTGACCCAGCAATACCACTTCTGGGAATATATCCCGGAGTTGCAAAAAAGTATAGTAGAAATGATATCTGCACTTATATGTTCACTGCAGCACTGTTTACAATAGCCAGAATCTGGAAAAAACCTGAGTACCCGGGAATAGATGACTGATTAAAGAAACTTTGGTACATCTACACAACGGAATACTATGCAGCTGTTAGAAAAGATGAAGTCTTGAAATTTGCATATAGATGGATCAACATGGAAAGTATCATATTAAGTGAAATGAGTCAGAAAGAGAGGGACAGACATAGAAAGATTTCACTCATTTGTGGAATATAAAGTTACAGAATGGGAGACTAACACCCAAGACCAGTAGAGGTAAGTACCAGGAGGATTACTGCACAGTTTAGAAGTCGGCCTCACATGCTGGGGGAAAAGGCAGCTCAGATGGAGAAGGGACTACCAAGTAAAGGGTGTTAGAAGGGCCCGCTCGGGATGGGAGATGCGGGCTGAAAGTAGACTATAGAACGAACATGAAGGTCACTTAATACCTCTACTGCAAACCACAACACCCAAAAGGAGAATGGTTTGCAGAGAGCAAAAGGGAATACCCTGCCACAGAGGCGAGGTGGGGTGGAGGGAACAGGGCGGAAGTGATGGGAGGGATGCTGGAATCATTGGTGGTAGAAAATGGGCACTGGTAGAGGGATGGGTACTCGACCATTGTATGACTGAAACGCAAGCATGAAAGTTTGTAAGTCTGTACCTCACAGTGACTCACTAATAAAAGAATTAAAAAAAAAGATTAATTGTAAGGGATAAGACAAATTGTAACCACCTCTTCCATGAGCATGAATCCATGAACACACATATGTACACACACACAAATGCACCATAGTCACAACACTGGACAAAATACATAGTTTTTAATGTCTTCCAACACATATATACATATACATGTATATACATATGCGAAAGGTTTATTCTATATGAATAAAGACTCCTTGGTTTTATCATCCCTCTTCCTCTATAATTTTTGCACAGCAGGTCAGTGCATACTAAGATTTGAGATGAGTGAGGAGTATGTATGATGGACGCCTCTCTTCTGGAAAGTAATTGCATAACTTTTAGAAACTCTGTACATTATCAGGAGGGTCATTTTAAAGAAATAAAACCAATAAAAATTGAAGATCTGGCAAGTGATTTTCATAAAATTAGACATGCTTGCATCTTTCCTGGGAAATCTTTGGGAACCTGTAGCATACAAAGCCTGTGAAGTAGTTGGAAGACAGTCAGTCCCTTCAAGGCACCAAGATCGTCCTCTCTGGAGGTAGCAGAAACACAGCATTTCCAAGGAAGCCAGAAAATTTTAAATGCTGAAAATACTGTATGGGAAAGAATGCAAATAGAGTTCCTGTGAAGGAATTAAAAATGCCTGACTGCAGGAAAAAGAAATGTATCAATTGCTCTTCTCTGCAAAAGGAGCATTTTTCTGCCTTATATGGTAAACAAGGCTCTACAATTAACCTATGGTAAATGTTTTCTCCCATGAAACATACTCACAAATCTTTTTGGACTAAGGGCAACTGAAATTAGCAGCCATCCTATCACCCTCCTTCTGTCAAGCACAGATGAATATCTGTTAAAAGCTTTGACAATAAAGATGAACTCCTGGGACAAAGTGTTTCCTGGAGTTCCTTCCTGAGGAATTAAAGATTTGGCCTGTTCTAACTTTCCAAAAGTGAATGTAAGGGATAATAATAAATGTGTCCTAATATTGTATATCCGATATACTCCCTCGTAGGCCCTTTTAGAGATGGTCAGGAAAGACCAGTCGAAGTTTAAAAGTCCCAAGGAAAACACTGCTATCTCAATATCCTGGACTTTAAAATGGCCCCAAAATTTCTTGCCTTTTCCCACTCACAGAGATGAGACCTTCCTGTGCAGTGGACAGAGTATGAAAATTAAAGAAAATTATATAAATTTAAGTGGAAGTTTAAATTATTCCCAAGGATTAAGAGATCCTGTTGCCGGGGCTGGAGCAATAGCACAGCGGGTAGGGCGTTTGCCTTGCACAAGGCCGACCCGGGTTCGATTTCCAGCATTCCATATGGCCCCCTGGGCACCGCCAGGAGTAATTCCTGAGTGTAGAGCTGGGAGTAACCCCTGACCATCACTGGGTGTGGCCCAAAATGACAAATAAAAAAATTAAAAAGATAAGGAAGATCATGTTGACAATTTGTTTAATTTAACTCTCTCCTTGAAGGAATTTTAAAATGGGATAATGGGCCAATGGGCCTTAACCAAATGTTATACATATTTTAATTTCTCATCTGAAAAGTATGCTGAGTTTTCTTCATTCCTTTAATCCTTTGGCAGCTTCTGATGATTCAAATGAGACAACACAGTAGAGCAAAATCTGGGTGAGAACTAGAACAAGAAACAGATTTGGAGTCTTTGTTACACAGCTAACTTAGATGTTAGGCAAGTGAGAAACTGCCCAGTATGCAGGAAAGTGAGAGGGGAACCTCTGGGTTTGGACAAAGCAGCTGAGTTTGGAAAGAAGTTGAGATGGGAGGGGACTTACTATTTGTGGAAAGCTTTTATTTGATGATGGGGAAAGAATGGCAAATATGTAACTCAATATTTCTGTAGCTATAAATAACATGTGAATACCTTTCATAATGAAAACCTCATGGAATCTGCTTTTCTGGGAAACTTTTAAAATAGGAAAAGGCAAGAGAGGAGAATTACATGCATTTAACCCACACTATGTGCTAAGCCCCTCCATATGCTTTTTGCTCAGTCCTCTTGCTTCTCTTCTGGCATAATTTTCACTTCAGAGATGAGCAAAGTGTGGTGGAGAGGTTGAGGACCGTGACTGAGAGCCCTAATGGGACCAGAGTTTGAAATCAGATCTCTGTGTGCCCAGAGTTCTTACTGCTTCAGGAACCAAGCAGGAGACTTTCTTGCAGCAGAGATGGGATTCCACATCTCTGTTAAAATCTTCTCTATAACTGGGATTTCCGTGCTGGAGCAATAGCACAGCGGGTAAGGCGTTTGCCTTGCATGCAGCCAACATGGCTGACCCGAGTTCGATTCCTCCGCCCCTCTCGGAGAGCCCGGCAAGCTACCGAGAGTATCTTGCCCGCACAGGAAAGTCTGGCAAGCTCCCCGTATTCAACATGCCAAACACAGTAACAAGTCTCACAATGTTACTGGGCCCGCTCGAGCAAATCGATGAACAACGGGAGGACAGGGACAGTGACAGTGAACTGGGATTTCCAGTGATGACTCCCTCTCTACATGCACAAAGTCTTGCAGGGTATTAAGATCACTGAGAGCTAATAAACAATGACTCAACTGAGGAGGCTTAGGAGAGGGGAAACAATTGGAGATGTAGGAGGTGACTGGCTCTCCCCGTGCCATGCTGTCCCTTCCCTCTCTGGGCTCCAGTTTTCACATCTGGAAGCCCAGAGTTGGGCTAAACCTCCTCTCAGTTCTGAGTTTTTTTTTAAAATTTTTATTTGTTTCAGTTCTGAGTTTTAACAGTTCCCCCCACCCTCTTTTGCTTTTTGGGTCACACCCAGCAGTGCACAGGGGTTACTTCTGGCTCATGTACTCAGGAATTACTTTTGGCGGGGGACCATATGGGTTGCTGGGAATTGAACCTGGGTCGGAAGCATACAAACCCGCTATGCTATTGTTATTGCTCCAGTCCATCTCTCTCTCTCTCTCTCTCTCTCTCTCTCTCTCTCTCTCTCTCTCTCGTGCCTTTGGGTCACACTCGGCAGTGCACAGCAGTTACTCCTGGCTCATGCACTCAGGAATTTCTCCTGGCGGTGCTCAGGAGTGTGTTATTGCTCCAGCTTCTCTCTCTCTCTCTCTCTCTCTCTCTCTCTCTCTCTCTCTCTCTCTCTCTCACACACACACACACACACACATACACACACACACACAGTCTGAGGATGTCTCCCAAGAAAGGCATTTCCCCCTGCTGGCCCAACACTGTATGTTCCCAGGAACCTACCAAAGCCCACTCTCCCACTCTCCGCTGTCCCGACAGTACTGACCTGCACCTCCCGGGTCAGTGCCAGCTCTAGCAGTTGACCAAAGTGCTGGCCCAGGGTGCTCAGGGTCTCACTCACACAGGCCTTCATTGACTTCAGCACGTGTTCATTCTCCACCTGTAGACACCTGAAGAGAAGGACACCAGGGCCAGCTCATTGGAAATGGCAAGTGTTCGACTCAAAGCTACTACAAAAGCCTTAACTGGACCTGCAGCACCTGAGAGAGGTGAAAGGGGCCTATGGAGATGACAGCTCTGGGGAGCAAGAGATAGAACAGTCCATCACCAGCACATCCCATGCCTTCCGCGAATTCAGAGCCATTCTAGCCTGAAGTGGGACCTCGCTACCATCTCTGTCACTAGGAATAAAGTAGCTAGAGGCATTCCCAGAGCGTGGGGATGGGACTAACAGAGGATGCTGCTGCTGCTAGGCTCACTCTGAGTGGGTAACAGAAACTGGGGAAAGAGTGCAGAGGGCTGGAGCACAGGCCTGGCATGTGTGAGGCTCCTGAGCACTGCATTCACTGCCCTAGCACCACTGGGTGTGGAACTGGTGGTCCCCAGCATTGCTCCCAGATAGCACCCCATCACCAGCATAAGTTTTCATATGATCAGATGTGACAGCTGAATACTACCCGGAGTGCCTCCTCCCGCTAGACTTCAGTTCATTCCCAGAAGGTGATCATACAAAAAGAGCACAGAATATCAGCAAGCCTTTAATGGAAAACTGTCCATGTTATGCAGAAAGGAGTTTTGAGGATTTTCTTCCCAGCCAGGATGAACAGGATGGGGTCAGGCTGCAATTCACACGTCCTGGCCTAAGAAGGATCTGTGACCAAACAATCACAAACCACAGGCGAGCCCAGGGCAGTGCTAAATGCCAGGGTTTCCTTCTAGGGCCTGGCAGCTGAGCACCTGAGTGTGCGTTGATGAGCCGTGAGTGCCGTGTGTGTCTGAGTGCAAACATGGATGGGCTGATGTGTGTGGGACACAGCAAGCAGGTGGAGTGTGTTTCTGTTTCTAAGTCTGTGTGGGAGTGACTGTTGGTGGACATCATAACTCTGCTCACTGTGCAAAGGTGGTTTTGCGTTCAGTCATCCTTCGTGTTAGGAAGCCTGGGAAAGCCTCCCCCTTTCTATGTCTGGGCCTCTCCTCTGCCTTTTACAGTCCCCTTAACACCTGAAAGTGGACCCTGGAATCTGTTAAGGCTGTTGGGAGAAGTTCTGCAGAAGTTAGATCTCCATCACCAAAAGTCTGCCCATGGCCCCTCTCCTGCTGGAGGGCATCCTGTCCGCCTGCGCTCAGGCTGACAGAGCCCGTCCATCCATGCTTACCTCTCGGTGACCGCTGAGAGTTCCGAACATTTCTCCATTAACAGCTTTTCAATCTGTTGGGGGGAAATAATAATCTCACTGAATTCGGTAAGCATTGATTGAGGCCCAACTGCAGCCCCGGGCCTCTGGGGCTTAACAATGAAGAATCAAGCCATTTGATGTGGGAGACAGGCAATAAGCTAAAGGACCGTTGTGAGGTTGGTAAAAAACATCCTCACCAGCAGCTCCGGGAACACAGGAAACAAATAAACAAACCAAACAATGAGTAATACCAAGACATCCAGAAAATTTCAGAGAGAAAGGGGCAAAATTCGATCTGGGCTGAGAAACATGAATGGAAGTTACTGTCTGCCTGTGAAGGGGAGAAAAAGTAAAGGGCTAAAAAAGTAAAGGTGGAAAAGGAATGCCAGGAGAAGAAAAATTTAGAAGACGAGATTGTTGGTGGTTCCTTTAGATCTTTAAGGAGAAAATGCTAAGTCATGGTGTTTTGAAAGACAGACTTAGTTTGGATCCACTTATAATATTCACTCTGCATAACTTTGGACAAGTTACATAAGGCTGCTTTACATCTGGAATCATATTACCTTAACTATAATAAAAAATAAATAACAAAATATAAGGGATAAAATAAAGAAATAAAACAAAATAATGTTTAAATTCTACCAATGAGATATGAAATAAAGTTATAAAATAAGAGAGGGCAATAATACTTCTTCCTGTCTCTAATGAACTGTTTTCATTGTGTGACACATACTAACTACTCTTCACAAAACATCTAGGAAAGTCAGACTGATCTCATTTGGATGTTGAACTTGGGGCACAGAGAAGGTAAGTAACTTGTTTGGGGCACACAGCAGAGCCCACATGTGAACACAGACAGTCTTGCACCAAAGTGTTTATAGGGAGGCATTACAGAGCTTCTTGATGGTTCTGTGTGCCTCAGGTTAAATGGGTGTATATTCAGCTAGTGCCATACCCACTGACCCATAGGAGGTGGTTTGATAAAGCGTCTTGCTGTCTTGACTGCTTTATTGCTGTGCCTGAGACAAAAAACGTTCGAATTCCACACCAGCCTCACCCCCTTCAGCCCGGTGCATACCTGGCCCATCTCCTGTGAGGCGCTCCTGCTGCCGGAGCTGTACTCGCTGACCATGGAGCGCGCGTGGCAAGTGAGTCGCACGCTCATGCTGTGCACACGCGCCCAGCGCTCCTGTGCCAGCTTCTGCCCGATCCTGCGCAGCTCGGTGCTGATGACCCAACCCCGCTTGAGCAGCAGTTGCAGGGGGTCCCCAGGACCGGGACCACCCGCCAAGATGAGGTCACCGTGTGAATCTTCCTCCAGACTGATGGGCTTCGCCTGCAGGACACACATGCACTCGCACTCGGTCATGAGCTTCAGATCCTCCATCCAGCGCTGCACAGAATCCACCTGCATCAGGTGCAGCCTGCGGCCAGGAAACAGAAGCAGGACGCTGTCAAGACCCCACAGCCAGGGCCTGGAAGACAGTGCGCTGGGTCAAGTGCCTGCTTTTTACATGCCTGCTCCCTGGCACAGCCTATGGTTCCCCTGAGCTCAGCCAGAAATGCTCCTGAGCACAGAGCTAGCAGTAAGCCCTGAGCACGGCCAGATGTGGCCCAAATAACACAATCCACAGACTTCCATTTAAGATTCTGAAAGATGCGCTAAACACCTCTGCTCACCACTTTCTGGGTTTATATCTTCGTTTTTTTTTTTTTAACTCTGTCCATTATATAGATAAAAAAGACTGAGGCACAGAAGTGTTGGGGGGCAGATGACCAGAAAAACAAGCAATAAAGTCAGACAACAGAGCAAATAAATGATTTTTCCAAGTAGAGGAAAATGCAGTTAAGTTGAATGAGTCATGTTCCTGCCATATGGTTCTTTAGTGTGTATTTATTTTAAATTATGCTTTACAAAGATTTACTGTAAAGAAATATGTGTGGGCAGATAGAGTGGGGAAAGAAATATGCAAAAATATAAACACTCTATTATTTTATAATTACATTAAAATCTCTGTCTAGAAAAAGTTTTGAAGGAATTGCATTAAAATGCTAATCGTGCATTATGAGTGGAGAAACAAAATCTTTTCTTCAATTTTTCTCTGATTTTCACATTTTCTCTCATTAGTATGGATATAACTTTGTAATGAAACAAAACTAAGTCTATTTAACACAACAGCATGAGAGCATAGACTGGATCCTAAGATTTTAATGAAATAACATACACTCTAAGATTCACTTAGTCAAATACAATTTAGTAGTAGTAAATAAATAATAAAACATTGAACCTGAGTCTTACCTGCATCTTACAACCATCTACCTGCTACTAATAATTCACTTGAGTAATTTTAAGTCCTGGCCCATAAAACTTAAAATGTTTAACTGTGGGAATTTACTGGAATTATCTCTTAAATCATTAAAAACCAAAAAATAAATAAACCTTGCTAGAAGGCTTTCTTCCTCCCTCTTCCTTCTTTGTTTTGTAAAGAATTTAAATAAATGTACAGAGGAAGAGTTTGTGTCACCTCAAATCTCAGTGCCCTGTTCTCCATCTTTACTTAACCTTCCATGAGTGGGATACCATAATATGTATCTTTTGTATGTCATTTGTGTTATATTTCTTCTCCTCCTTGCTTCCCTATCCCAAGCAACAAATGATAATTTATTATCATTCCATATTTTCTTCCATAGGACTACATTCTCATATAAACTTGTAGCTAAATACATATTCCATCTGCAGGGTTATCTGGCTTACAATTGTTTTTAAAAATGTGATTATAATGTATACATTTTGCTGCATTTTAATTTTATTTCTCAACAGAGAAACTCAGTTATCCAATGGAGTCCTTTAAACATTCTTTCCAATGTCTGGAAATTATTTCATAGTGTGTATCTGACACAATTTATTCATCCATTTTTCCTATTGTAGGAAAATAACTTTTTTTCAGTTCTCAGACATTATAAACAATATTATACCCATGCCCTAACATAGCAGTTAACTCTGTTCTATGATATAGATCCCCAGGAAAAGAATTACAATTCAATACATATTGCCATACTGACTCCTCTAAAAGGCAATGTTTTTTAATTTCCCCAAAGTGTAGGAGAGCTTTCTATATAGAAATTGTTATTCCTCTACATGAGTTCTCGGGGCTCCCTAGAGAACTGTGCCTTGCATAAATCATAATTCCTGAGGCATGGAGAGGGAGGCCCCCACGATCAGACCCATGCCTTTCTTCCCACTGACTTCCCCCTCTTAATGTCTCTCTCTCCCAATGCTAGCATCTTAGCCATAAAGGCATTCCAGGCACACTCATTTTTTTTAAACTGCTCTCTTTCATGGCCTCTTGCAGGCTTGCACGGATTCTCTATTGCACAGTTCTCTATTATTCAAGAGTCAGCCTTTTACTTCTCTATATGGCAAGCTCTTCCTAGTCCTGACATTGCTTTCTTTATAAAATTCAGCCAGAGTTTATCAGCTTCTCTCCAGAGCCTCCACACTCTCAATGCATCCTCGGTTGGAATCTAATAGCATCCTCTTGGATTACTGTGTTCATCTAAATTCTCCAAATCCTGAGTGTTGACACCGACCAGTTACTCCATAAATACATATCAATGAAAGACTGTCTGATTGACAGGCAATTTACTGACGTACCTCTGCAGAAGATTTTATGTACCTCCACTACTCAGGCTACCAGAAAATATGCAAAATTAACCAAGTTGGAAAGAGAATGTGGAGGGTGGACAAACTGAATAGGCATGTTTGATAATACAAAACTAGCTTAGGGGAATTGAAGAGATGACAGGTAAACATTGCTCACTTACTGACTCATTTACTCCATTAACACTTTACAATGAGTATCTGTTGTTTATTTCTTCCCTATTCTTCTGTCAATAGCAAAGGTGCCTTACATTGGTGACAGTGTGGAACCTAGGCTTCCTCTTTCAGCCATAAATGCCTCTTTTTCCCCAAACATAGGGGTGAAGACCCCAGAGACCATATCTATGCCATATAAATATTTCCTGGTCACAGATGATGGTTGATCCAGGTTAGCTGGCTTCAGAACCAAGGAGCCCATCCAATTATTCACCCTCAATTTGTGAAACAGAACTAATGGTTTAAAACTAAAGTTGTGGGACCTGGTAACATTCATGATGACCACGACCATCCTGTTATTTGTCGATTGCCTTGAGCAGGCCCCAGTAACGTCTCCTTCATCCTAGCCCTGAGATTTTTAAGAAAGTGCCATATTCAAGGCTCTTTAGGAGAATGAGCCTTGAATAGGTAACATTCATGTTGACTATTTTGATGTTTCATAAAATACTCCAAAATCATTTGGGAAAAATTGGAAATAAACCCGAGTCAATTTTCATATCTTTTTGTTTTGCTTTATTTTTTGGGGGGGTCATACTTGGCAATTATCAGAGGTTACTCCTGGCTCTGTACTCAGGAATTACTTATGGCAGCAAGTGGGGATGCCATATGGGATGCCAGGGATTGAACCCAGGAAGGTCACATGCAAGGCAATCATCCTATCTGCAGTACTTTGGCCCCATTTTCATATCTTGTAAATAAAACAAACTTGTAAAATGCAAATTCACAACTATGTAGAGATATGTGAGTGTGTACCCTTAGACAAAGTGAATCTAGGGAATCCAGAGAAGGAAGCTGTCTCTCACACAAGGATATCAGAAGAAGGTGCTTGAAGAAGGTGGTTTTAGTGTTGGGGGTGGGTAATGGGTATGTGAAGACAGAGGGAATGTATTCAGAGACTGGGGTGAGACGATGTGTAAATCAGCTGGTTTATAGTTATGCATGCTGGAAAAGAGGGGACAGTGAAAGGGAAAGCAGCACAACAGACAAGGACCCTGATATTGAGCAGCTCTAAATGAGTAGTTGGTTTCGCATTTGTATTGGGAACTCTGAGAAACTAATGAAATTAAGGGGTTGTAAAATTGCTAAATAAGACCCCTCTGCACAAAGAAAAGCTATGAAGCTGGAGTGACTCAGCATGTCTCTCTGTGTAAGACCCCAAAGATCCTCAGGATGGAGCCACTTACACTCCCTGACTATTTTGAATGAAAAAAGGCACAGAAAAATCAGAAAAGGAGACAAAAGGAGTGAGGGTCGCCAAAATCCTGTTGAGCCTCCAGGCACACATTTTTATCACCCTCTCTACCCTTTTTACACCCAAATTGCATGGAGACAAAATCAGTTCTTGCTCTTGATATCCTTAAGAATTGCAAAGAAAGTGTGTGTTTTTTTTCAAAGCCACGTTAATTAAAATCCTAGTTGATTTATCACTCTGCTGGTAAGGGAAATGCAATGACAAAACTATTGATTTTCTCCTGGCTCTGTGTATTAGTGTCGCCGAGCATCTATGTCTGTGGTTATGAACTCATCTAAGTGTCTCTGTATTAGCTGCACGCTCCTGTCTGGGTGTCTGGCTGAGCGCTTACGCATCTCCACCTACGTAAATGCTGAGATCAATGTGTGCTTTCGCAGGTCTTGAGTCAGATAAACTGGATGATTAAAAACAACGGGGTGGAAGGTAAGTGTGGGCGCTAGTCACGATTCAATTTCAAGAAAATAATATAGAAAAAAGTGGGAAAGTTAACTTTACAGTGGAAAAACTTGAAAAACAACACTTTAACCAAGAGATGCATTGAAAGCCACCACTGACAAGATTGATAGATATCAGATGTCTCTGATCTTATGTGACAAGTAGGACACTTCTCTGTCCCACTCTTCCCTCCCCACCCTCCAGTGCATAGTCTCATATGCAGTTTTATCCCGAGAAAAGAATCCAGAAATACAGAACATTCCACAAAGCACCTGACCAGCATCCAGGTCCCCAGAAGGATGAGAAGACTGAAATACTGTCATGTATCAGAGGGAAAAAAGGGAAAGGGATGATTAAAAGTAGTAGGAGAGGGGGTCCAAGAGCTAGCACAATGGGCAAGTACCCTGCCTTTTAGGTAGCTGATGCAGGTTTGATCCCAGCACCCTGTACTGTTCCTAGAACTCTGCCAGGAATGAACCCTGAGAACAGAGGCAGAAGTAAGCCCTGCCCTGCCCCAGGGGACAGGCTTGAGGGGTGCTTGGGAAAATGGAGACAATGGCCCAGGGAAGGTGATAAATGGTAGTGTGATTGGTGTTGAAATATGGATGCTTCTAACAAATTCTGTGAATAACTTTGTAAGTCACAGTGTTAAGTAAAGTGTGTGTGTGGGGGGGGGGGGGGGGGGGCGCGGTGGAGCAAGCCCTGAGCCCTGTTGAGTATGAACCAAAACTAAAAAAAAATTAATAATAATAAAATAATAGGAGAAGGGCCCAAGGGGGATAGCTCAAAGGGCTGGAGTGTGCCCAGCTTGTACTCCATGTTCCGTTCCTAGCACTGCCATCCCACATTCTATCCTGAGC